ACACACTGATAAATCCCACCCCTGCTTTTTTCCAGCATCTTCTCCGGCTTACAAGGTTAGCCTCAATGATTTATCATGTGTCATCTTGGTTTATCTCTGCTTGCATCGGGGCTGACTAGCCCGATTTATTTTTTGAAAATAAAAAATATGACTTTAATTCATAACTTGTTAAGGGCCAGAAGCCAAAAAGTGGCTTTGAAATAAATCACTCACTCCAGCAGTAATTGTGCACCGTGGCTCAATAATCCAAGAAAATGTCTCCCTCTGTTGGTCTGACACAAATATTACAATCATGGCGAGATAAATGACTTTTTATGACTGTTAGCAACTTGCTTATAATAAGGTGTCATTTAAACATTTAGAATGCAAACTGCAAGAGTAAAAATAAAATTCATCGTCAGAAGACAATGCTATGGATAGGGTGGAGGCACGTAATTCACTGTGGTCACCCTTAAAGCGAGCAGCTGAAGGAGGAAGGCAGAGAAGAAGAATCTCTACTGATTTTTATGCTAATCTTTGGATTCTCTTGTTTAATTTAAAGTACATCTTTGATTCAGCTGAAAATTTACATTAATTGTGTGAAAAAAAACCGAGTCCAGTGTTATTTTAGCTAACACTAGTACAAGCCCTTCAGTATTGTTTGGTTTCTTTGGTCTGCTGGTGCTGTTCGCCATGAAATCACAGACACACAATCCTTTTTAAAGTTGTTGTAGATGCATAGCTATATATTCAAAGGAAAGGGGAGCATTTCGGTCACTTGCTAGGTGGTTATTAGGCAACATGATGACACAATATATCGAATTCAACTCTTGGTAATCTAAATAAGATTTTGCCATCACGATTAAAATGATGTGATCCTTGTATTAGGTGCTGCGGAGCCATAAAAGGGAAAAAAAAAACAGGTAATTTAAGCCTGTTGCTAGGTGGTTGCCAGGCAATATGATGACATCACAATATCTGACATCGATGGCAATCATAGACCATGAAAAGTCAATGACACATTGTGACTGCAAGGGACTACAGGGCAAAACAAAAGTGGGTGAAGTGAGCGGGATAAACTTTTCTCACCTTAGAGGTGACTGAAATGAACACTGATGAGACTACAGCGTGGTTACTACTGGACACTCCACGTTGCAGTTGCCTAGGTAACCCTCCAATGTATTTACGCAGGTGTAGCAATGGATGTATGGAAAAAAAAAAAAAGAAGGGCCAGTAAGTAGGTTTTTGTGCTTTAACACGCAGCATATTTTGCAGCCATGGCAGTTTTACTTATATAGTAAACTCGCTGTGCTTGTAAATAGCTTTAGTGTGGTAAATATACCTGTTTGACCTTTATGGCTGACAACACTGTGCTTGTGATGAATTACAGAACAAAGAACATGTGGCATAACTAGACTTCCTAGCCTCCCAGCATGAAAAGACATGCTGAGGTGTGAAGGGTTTAGTGAAATCTCCAAGACACTGAGACTGAGTGAAACCTGTCAGGCCCTTTGAATACTCATTCTCAATACGTGACTCACCATTTAAAGCACCGTGTCTGTTTGGTTTTGTGCGTTTCTTGGTTGTTTTTGCATAATCCATCAATTAAAAATTATAAAAAGAAAAGCCTTACCTGCTGACATGTGCTTGATGACTTGGGGACGAGGATTTTATAATAACACATGGCAGGAGTAAAGGTTATTTCAATAAGAGCGTGTTTCCTCATGCAACACTTGGCTGATGTAAAATACTTTGTGAGGGAAAGAAAATGAGGAACATGGTAGAAGTCAGTTTCATTTAAACTCTGTGAAGTTCCACAAACCTGCTTTTTTTTTTTTCAATAGGAGTGACACCTCTGAAGTCTGATTGTATAGAAGCCAATGTGAAAACAACCCATAGCTTCCTTAATCTGTAACTTTAGTAAACACTTCCCTGATGAGTTAATGGCCTGAGATTTACGTTTTAATTAATTGATTTATGGGCTTTGGGCTTTTAATTGTTTCTTTGAGATGAAATTGACAGAGAAAGAAGCCCCTGCTCCAAAATCAACAACTTCAAGTTCCACTGAAATCTGCAGCTGTCTACATAAACAAGCCAAATGCCTTCTGGAGAAAGGATTTATGGATAGACGAGACAAAGATAGAGCTATCTGACCACCATGACAAGATGTATGTTTGAAGGAGTAAAGATGAGGTTTTCAAACCTAAGAACATTGTATTGGTGGTCACGCATGGTGGTGGTAGCCTCATGCTCTGGGGCTGTTTAGCTCTCAGTGGTCTTGAACACAGTTGGGTGTTACATCAGGTCAAAGATGAGAAACACTTTTAAGAAAACGATCTTGGAATGGGTAAAACAGGCTAACATGAAGTCTCTGGAATGATGTTCCCAAACCCTACTGAAAACTTGAACTATGCTTAAAAGCTGGGTCCATGCCAGGAAACCAACAAATTTAGATAAACTTTACCAATTCTGCCATGAAGACTGGTGAAATATCTAGCCAGAACTATAGCAGAAGCTTGCTGATGGCTACCAAAAGCATCTGGTTGAGGTGCATCTAATTATATATTAATAGGGTATGCATGCATATATTTCAGCTTGTATTTACAATTTTGAACCTGTGTAGATTAGAAAAAAATCCAGTAAATCCAACCCTGATGCTGTCCATCCAACAGATGCATGCTGTATAATCATGTCACTCTGCAAAAATACCAAACCAAAGAAATCATTAAAAACCCAAAATTACGAGGACATTCATATCCATAATGAGTGTATGCAAACTTATGACCACAACTGTATGCAAAGGTATCGACTGTGAGGTCACCAGGTGGTTGACATTGGCATTTTGGAGCTTACCATCAGCTAACATTATTGAGCTGCACTGCAGTCATAAAATGCAAAGACACATATCGGCTAGTTGATGCTAAGCAAACACAAAAAACAAAAACAAACAAAACTATAATTTCACTCACGACAGCTGAAGTAGAAACTTCTCAGATGGTCCATACCTCACAGAAATTCATGGCACTAATTAAATAATCCATTATAAAGAGTCTCCGACAGCAGGCATAGGGTGCTTCCACTGGATTAGCCTAGCAGTCGGCTCGGGTCAATTAACATGGCCACGCCCCTAACACGTTTAGCCAGGCAGATGAGTGAACAAAAAAAGCAAAAAAACAGTCGTTATGAAAGGGGAAGCTAAAGAACGTTTCTGCTTCCAGGACTTAACAAGTTTAAAATAGCATCCTTATATGTTCTCTTTTCGCTCTGAAATATTGGAACAAAAGCTCATTAGCCTGCTCTCTGCGGGGTCTGCATACTGCTGAGTTCCTTATTAACAAATCACTCAAATTCAGCACTGTTGGAAATGACACGTTCGTGTACTTAAATGAACCTGCAAAAGTCTGACCTAGTGTTGAATTTACAATCCCGATTGTTTAAATACATTCTTCGTAAATCTGTGAAGATAAGACGTGCTTATACATCTTATCTCTGCTTTTGCTAACCTTGAAGTTCAGAAAGCAAGCACGTCCGTACAACACAGATATACTCGGCAGGCTATACGTGCACTGAATGACACAGGAACCCAACACTGACTGCAAACGCAGGTGGACATTGTCACTATGCTGTGACATCAACCCCTGCAATGTGTTTTAGACATGGAATAAATTAATGAATATGTTGGGTTATGGAGCCTCAGATGAACATATCTGACCTAGAGAGTGGAGACTGATGAAGTGCAACACAGACACACATTTCAGCTAATTAAATAATAAAATATCACCAATCAAAAAATGAAGTTCTCCGATGGTCTGTAATACACAGCAAGCTGTAATATTTGTCAGATGATTCTATTACCCGATTTCAATTCTGATACCCAATTTTGCTGTGCAAGAAACTGCACAATGACAATAAAAAGCTCTAAGTCTATTAAAAATGCTTTAACAGCAGCACATACCTGTCAGTCAAAGCAGCCACATGTTAACATGCTTTTTAATGCTGTGAGGTTGGACATTTAACAGGTGAGTCTGTGGGGATTTACTCAGTTCTGAGCCCAGCCCTAAAGAGCCATTAGAGAAACTGGCGTTTTTAGCACTTCTGCATTTAGCTTCAATTTTTCAGCCCCACAGACTGCAGCCCGGCACCCTTTTGCATCCTGTTTAAAGCATCTCTAAGCTGCCTTCAAGCACCTATGTGAGCTTCAACCATGAAACCTAGTAAAACGTTACAGCTTGCAAATCAAAAGGTAAATGGAATATACTTCTTTTTTTTTTTTTACTTAACTTGAGACTTAAAGGTGTTTTCTTACTACAAGCCTCAGTCACCTATTCACTCAAATACTTTTTCTATGCCTAAGCATATAAAATTCACAGACACACACTGATGGGTGCATCAGGGGCAACTCGGGGTTCAGCATCTTTCCCAAGGAAGCTTAGCCACAGGCTCAATAATACCAATCAGAGGGAATTCCAAGTGTCTATTAATGTGCATGAAAATATATCCAAGGATTATGTCCATCCTTTATATACAGTCTATGGCATTAGCATCACATCCTGTTTTATTACCAAATGAAAAAATATTGTACTAGTATGTTGTAAGTCACAAACAGCTTCCCCAGCTTTGCCTTATGCTGCACTGCACTTCTGTGCTCAGTAGGGGGCAGTGACATCAGATACCTGTGAAGCCCCCCCCAACGCTGTCACTTATTAACAGGTAGTACAGTATGAAGGAAGTGTCCAGCTGCCCTGGACACATTCCTGTGTGTAATGGTATCCAAGATAGTTTCTCATATTTGCCAGCAAACACAGACACTCAGCTTTGTGGTCTGTGGTTCACTTTGATCATTTTTAAAAATATATTTAACATGATTTAATAAATGTGTGACTAATGTAACAGTGAAAATCCAGGATGATAAAGTATTTTATGTTTTGTATGTTATACAAAGTATGTTATGTATTATACTGTATAGCTATCTCAGAGGGGGGTCAGGCCTCCTTCATTATCATATTGTTGCCATGGCATTTCAAACTCTCTCCAGAGGGAAGCCGTGGATGACAAAGAGGTGATGAGAGGAGTGAAGTTCTCCAATTCACTGGGACAGCATATAATAGCCGGGGAAGAGTAAAGAGCACACAGGCAGATCCAGGATACTCGCTCAGAAGATGAGCGTTGTTCCCATGAGGAGAGTCCTGAATGACAACGGTAAGACCTGCTATGCAATTTTAAACAGCCCATCATCCTGTATGCAGATTACACTAAGCCGCTGTAGCCTTTTCTTCCAGTGCTGCTCTTCTTAAGTGGACTTAGGGTTTATCTTCTGCAGGAAACTGCTTGACACTCATTAAATCACTGCTGTTTGATATTCATTAATTTATTCCATTTGCACTGACATGGCCTTATTGGACACGTTTCTGGTCAATTCCGGCTCTGTGTTTAAACATTCATGAGTGCCGTAAAAGCCGATTACACTGTGTCTGTGTTTCTCTCTATTAATCCAGTTTAATTAGAGCCAAGTGGTCCCTGAACTTTTGGATGTTAAGTCTCAAAGAAAGTGATGTCACCCAACACTAAACACTGATTAAAACTATTGGGTTAGCTAATGTGTGCCTCTTTTCTATCATTTCATTACATTTTAGACAGAAGAATCTAGGTTTAAGGTCAGAGTAAAGGTTAGAGGTCATTCAAGTAGTTGTTAAAGTTAGAATAACTCTGCAGGAAAATAGATGGAGGTCAATGTAATGTCCCCTGAAGCGATGGAAACACAACTGAGTGCATGTGTGTTGGTGAAGCAGCTGCACACAGATGGTTTTAGAGGGTCAGTCAGAGGTGGACCTTTGTGCAGGGTCAGGCAGCGGTCCATTATTTATTCATGCCGACGTATCCGAAAGGCCGCCTAATTGCACCAGGAGGAGCCCAATTACGCACAGGGGCCTGCGGCCGCTCTGTCTCACATTCACAGGAAAGTGGGAGGTGGATCACATGTCAGCTATGACCGATGCTGTGCGTCTTATTTACATTTGCAGAGCTCGGGTTCAGCTCTGTAAACACACAGTGTTTGTGTGTGTTTATATGCTCGCTGGAACAGCAGATGCTGGCAGGAGTGCCAAACAAGAAAAGACAAATGTTGTCAGATAGACTGGAAATTGCTTACAGAACCTCTTGACAAGTGTTTGTTTTTTCTCTGATCATGACAGGCAAAGGTAAGGTGTTTACGGTGCTGCTGGTTGTGTATTTGTGTAACATGAGCACACATACATAGTCTTTGTGTTACAGTGGGCTCCGGCGAGGATGTGAATACGAGCTCTGGGACGGAGAAGGTGATCAGCAAGGAGCCTTTCTGCTCCCTGCTCCCTCGACTGCATTCATCTTCTCAGTCTACAGGTGATATCCAGTCTTAAAACTTGCACTACTTATCTCATATTGTATTTACCAAACTGCAAGTTGCAAGAGAAAACTACAATTTTTGCAGAACTTTCATCTTGTGAAAAATTAAGCATACAGCATTTTTGCTTTCATGGTAATTTAGAGGGTAAGTGGCAGGAAAATGCTGCTAATTAAATACTCAATTAACTGACTGGTCATCAGTGAGTGACAGCGCCTATATAAAAACAGAGGTTTTGGCAGTTTGGAGGTCAGTATTAACACATGCCAAGGAGAAAAAACATTTGCAATGATTTTAAAGAAGCAATTGTTCCTGCCATCAGTCTGGGAAACCCAACATTGTACAGTGAGATTATTCACAAGTGGAAAACATTCAAGACGGTCACCAGTCTTCCCAGGACTGGACATCCCAGCAAATTCACCCAAGGTCAGACCGGGCAAAGCACAGAGAAGCTCCAAAAGACCCCCAAAGCAACATCTCAGGCTCTAAAGGCCACAGTTAGCATGTTAAACATCAGTGTTGATAACAGTACAATAAGAAAACGCCTGAACAAGTAAGGCTTGTTTTGAAGAGTTGCAAGGAGAAAGCCTCTTCTCCCTGAAAAAGAACACGAAAGCAGATGCAACTTTGTAAAGTTACATTTTTACATGTTTGAATACAGAGCAAAGGAAATCTTTAATGTTATTATTAATACCTGCTTTTAAAAAACAGCTGCCAACAGAAACTAACAATATCTAACAAACCCGACACTTTTCTCTCTATTCAGATAATCAGCACCGTTCTTGTATCGTCTCTCCAACTTCCTCCCTCCACCTCTCTCGTGCCGCCTTTGTTTTTCCTCAGCCTATCATCTATCTGATCAGGTTTACCTACAGGCTGCAGATATTTTCCAGCAGCTGTGTAGAGACAAGCCAGCCAGCCAACATCAGCGTCTACATTATGGAAAAAAGACGGAAACATCGCTGCTCAAGAGCGGGGACAAAACCATGGAGAAGCATGTGTTCCAGCTTGCCTTTAACACACTTAAATGTAAGATTACAGTGAACTTCTACAGTGAACGATTTAGAATAGCGCACCATACTTTAACCATATTTAGTTTTATGAATGCAGATGAACTGTACTGTATATCCAGCATGGCGGGAGCCCACTGGTGGTTAAACATAAAGTCAGGGGGAAATTAATTTGATCCCCTCTACTGCCACCTCTGAGGACTTTACCCAACTCCTAGGGATAAGGTAGCCTTATCTCTATAATGAATAACAGAGGAGAGCAGCATATGTCAGCTCCAATATTCACTTTCTGAATAGCATCTTCAACTGCAGGCAGCAGATTAAATAATATATAGTCATACATTTCATTTCTCCACGTGACTGCAAATTGCTTGAGTGGAAGTGCAGTAGATGTCTGTTTGGGAGGTGATAAGAGAGTGCATGTCATGGGCAGACACACACGCACACACATATAAATTCACTTTAAAAAGCCACAAGTGCGCATATAGTGAAAAACACAACGTTTTACATACATTATTTGACCATTTAGGTGGCAGCAAGTTTTTCCAGATACCTGTCTTTTTTTTTTGGTTGTCCACAGCCACCTGCAATGTAGGTAAACAGAATTTCTTCTGAATACTAAAGCGCAGCATTTTCTATTTTAGCAATAAACAGTTTGTAAAACACGCATCATTGATTCTCTATGACAAAACAAGAAATAATCATCCTGATTTTGAACATAAGACAGCATAGTGACTAAGTGTCACTACCTATTTAAATGTTCTGTAAAGTTCCTTATATAGGTTCATCCTTCACTTTAACTCGTGATATATCTAGAGACCAACATGGTGCAGTCGTTTGATACTATGTGAATCTGTTCCCATGTCACCATTTCCAGTCACGAGGTGTGTCAGTGTCACTATGACAGAACCAGCTAACCTTAAAAGGCTTGTTTCTTATGGGTAAAACATGGTTACATTTGACTGGCAACTTGTTTGGTTATAGAATGATTCTGGGTAGACATCCGCATCTAAATGATAAATCTCCTATACTGTGTAGCATTTAGGCTACTTTAGCCTTCCCACTATTGGTGCACATCTGCAAGCCACTTTACACCCCACCTCCACTCCTAGATCCCCCTTTTCTTCCAGACTTTATCAGTCACATCTGTTGTCATCTCTGTACCACTGGCAATATCATGACTACAGCAGCCTCGACTGAAACACATTTATGACATTCATATGTATCTGCATGTAAAGGGAATTCCTGTTTTAGTGTGTATTGCATAGTGAACTTGCACAGGTCTCTGGACCGCTACAGAGCATAGCAAACACCCCCCTTCAGTTCTTGCCCAGCAACACGAGTAAAGGAAGGGAAGGGGCAAACAGATAGGGTTGGCGAGCTGCTTTTGAAGTGTTGCTGTATGTTGCATTTTTCATTCACTGGATAGAATTCTTTGTCATGAAAATTGCATGAATATCTATGAATGGAATATAATATTTAAAAAAAAAAAAGGTTTTTCAATATAAAAAAAAATGAATACTGAAATCCTACAGAAACCAGTTCCAGATGCCACACACACACACACACACACACACACACACACGCACACACACCAACATGCAACATACTCACTCTAAATTTGGGTATTGGCCTGGTTGTTGCCACACAGAGCTGGTAACCATAACAGAGCATTTGGCAGCTAATGAGGCAGATATTCTCTCAGGAGGAGGTAGAGACAAAATTAGAATTAAAAGAGGTGAATTTGGACTTACATTTGTCAGCTTATCAGAGGCACGACAACAGCTGAACACTAAACTTTCTGCATTCATTTTTTTAACCACCTGGTACCGTCTTGCTGACAGAGCTCAACAGTGACTGAACACTGTTTTAATGGCTCCAGTTCCAAAAGTGATTTTCTGGAATAAGCATTTACTCCACTGACAATGTCTAAAGTCCTTATAGAAAGACTTTTAAGCCTTGAACCAACCAGTTATGACTCATGGCAGTGAAAGAGATAATTTAGATCAAAAAATAAAATGAGGCAAAAGTTACAAGACATGTCTACATAATTACTGTCTGCATAATTGTCTACATAACTACCCAACCTATAAGCAAAACTATGTCAGATTTCACAGGAAATGAATTCCAGCCTTGTCAGATTTAATCCTTTTTGTGTTGTTTAATAGCTTTTGTTGTTTGTGTGCACTGAAGTGTACACAGATTTACACATTTCCATGGTAACAGCAATCACAAATGTCACTGTTTCAGTTCAGTACTTCTTTCATGTGAAAGCGCAAATAAAATGCAAACACAGGCTTGTGGTTTCCACAGGAGCTCGCAGTAAGTCTACTTTGGATGCTCACAAAATTATGGCTCATAAACAGGTTTTTTCCTTCGTTTTACCACCGGAACCTTTCTGTTGAGCTCTCATTGAGTTCCATTTGCCATAACCTCATGATACTTTAGCACTATTGTGTTTTCTGCTGAACAGGAACACTCGTTTCCAGAAATAATTTTCTCGCTACTCTGAGTAATTTCTTGGCAGCAGGGACAGACTGACAAGATAATTCAGGCTGGTTATTTGACTCCATCCCAGGCCACTTAAACTGACACTATGTGTTATTTAATACTGCCTCCATATCATAATTTCTGCTGCGTCTGTTATCCCTGTATTGTTGTTGTTGTTGTTCCTGCATCATCGTATGTAGCAATGTTGCAACTGACCAATCACATTGCTGTGATGTCATAGCTTTGCAATGTGGTCGGGGGAGTGAACAGCATTTCTTTTTTTAGAAAATTAGTTTCAAGTGTTTTATATATATATCTATATGTATATTTCAATAATAACTATATTATTAATGAAATGAAGCTGCACCAATCAGATGTTCTAACATCTCCATCACCACTGGTTGAAATGCAACCACAAACAATAACAGAGGCTGTTATCGTTCTGTTTTTAAATATTACTTCAACTGGCTATATGGGAATGATTCCTGTTATTGCAGCATTCTGCTAGAAACAAAGTGCCTTGAGACACAAGTTAAAATCAGTGCAGTGCTGGCTTCTTGGAAGCAAAATTAAAAGAAGTGAGGGGTGGCTCCACATGTGATTAAAGTGTTTTCAGTAAACTGTTTTTCCATGTTTAGCAACAAAATTGTGTCCAAAATAAAAGTGAATACGTGTGTAGACAGTTGTCTGCATCCATAAGTGTACAAAAGGAATAACTGAACAGTTTTTAGGTTATTATACATGTTATTATATGTGTTATTACTCCCCTCAGGCTCAAATTCATGTTGGTCTGAAAGTTATTTGGATTAAAAATGCAAAGCTTTGGGACAAAGAGCCTCTGAACCTGAGTTTTCAAGGTTCTGGCTGCAGGTGAACCCTCAAAAACCCTCTAGGAATACACTAATCAATGCACATACTAATTTATAAAGGGACCCAGTGACTTACAAAACAAATAGCCTGCCTGTTTTAAACAGAGATACGCAGTAAGCTCAAGGATTTTTGTTTAGCTCTTTTCATTTTTAATTAACTCTGATGGGCACTTTAGCATTTCTTCTTCATTCTTCCCCCCTCTTGCTCTCTCCCTCCTGGAACTTTTTATTCCCAAATTCCTTATACCAAAAGTTTTTTTTTACTTTATGTGTAAAGTAGCAAGTAGAGATTGAATGACTCATACTGAGTCTTTTTAGAGGTCCTTCTACTCATTCCTGCGCTCTACTAATGCTGCTCAAATTCACCGTCAGGGCACAGGGAAATATCCCAGCGTCCAACATTGACTGGCAGCGACTTTGCAGGCTCTGGCATCTGTAGTTCTGACTCTGAATCAGAAATGATTGTGTATTAACTAGAATAATAACCAAAACACAGTTGCTGTTAGCATATCAAAAAGACACATGACCTTGGTTCAGCTGAAGACAGAGCTTCAAGATATCAGCAAATAGAGCCAAACTGTCTATATGACTAAACAAGTGACAGAGTATGATTATCCTCCGCTTTGATGGACACTACGATTCAAATTTCTCTTAATTCATTAAAATTCAGCCGATGTTTTTTTCCCTTTGTTCATTAACAACTTTGTTTTCCTCCTAGATCAAGATTTACTTGAGGACATCATCTCCGACAGCTGCTTCCATACTTCGCAGCATATTGTGAGTCCCACCAGATTTGACATTTGGGTGTTTACAGACTCAAATCCAATGGTTTTTTTTAAAAAGAAAAAAAGAAATACGCTCACACACTGAGTGTGTGAAACAGTCTGGGAGTTATCTGTCTTCAAATGAAGTGTTTGTGGCCGTATGAGCGCGATTCATCCGAATATTGCGGAATGATAGCGAGGGAGGCAGGGACGCAGTTAAAGGCCATTTGTATTCAGACGTGTACATGGTCTGGCTGGTTATAGGTGGCAAGTGATACACACAAGGGAGAGGCAGACACACTCTCTCTGACTGGGAACCGTAAATTATGCTGTGAAACACTGCGCTATGACACATACATGGATAAGAGACTCGCTCCGCTCGTGCGTGGCTCTGTGTGGGAATGATAAGTCGAGGGAAACGCAGAGAATGGGCTGAGGCCGTTAGTCTGCGAGTGCGACTATAAAACCACCACACAGCTCTTTATAATTCAACACACATCCTTACTGCAACATACATATTCTGCCTCCCGCACACACACACACACACACACACAAACACACACACACACGCACAACCTGACAAAAAGAGTGCATGTACACAGCCATAAGGAAGAGTGCAGACGGACGTGCTCATCATTTTTACTTTACTCTTTGGTGATCATATATTCCTGTTTTGAAGAATGAAGGGAACCCTTAACTTCAGCTTTTGTGAACATTTCACTGCCTTCTAACTCCTTTGTTTGGTTTTCTGGTTTGAAACGTCACCGTTTTGACTCAGTGTGACACAGCGTTTGGATTAAAGGGAGGCTCAGACCTCTCAGTAGAGAGCTGAGCTTCCCCTCAAGCTACAACATTTTGAGTCAAAGGGCTAAAACAAGAGAAATAAATAGCCCAGAATGTTTTTAAAAGAGGGCAGGATGTTACACAGTGGTGAACAAGGCCCTGTCCAATTTTTTTGAGATGCATTGCTGCCAGTAATTCAAAATGTGCTGATATTTTTCTTAAAATAACACATTTTCTCAGTTTACTCATTCTAAAATATATTTTTAAAATATAAAATACGGTTTTATAACATTTGCCCAGGTTTATTTTTTTGCCCATTTTTGCACAGCAGTCCAATTGTTTCAGGACTCAGTCAGTAATAAAGCCCTGCAATGTTTTTCAGTCTGACGACTTGCTGCCTTTGGCGATGGTGATGCTGTTCGACTTTCAGGACAAAAAGTTTTCTCCGTGTGAACGTCCAACGATAGAAGGGCAAGAACCCATCCAGGAAGTCAGGAACCTGGAGAAAAGTCTGCACAGGTGTGTGTGCGAGTGTAAAAGTCACATGCGAACAACAGAAGTTTATTTATGCATAACCAAATAACCAAAACTGAATCAAAGAAACATGAAAATGGGCTCTGCTGTGTTTTTACAGATGTAAGACCAAGCTGGCTGCCTCTCTAGCTCGCTGCAGAGTGAAGCAGAATCTGCAGAGTGTTTCCTGCTTCCTGTCCGACAGCGTCAGGACCAAACAGCACCGAGCAAGAGGTCTGCCACTGTGCGCATGGATCGACACTCTCAAGATCAGGTAGTTTCAGCATGATTTTTTTTTTGGCTTAATGCAGCATGTGTTTAATGCCTGGTAAAGTTTACTGGTGGTTAAAGCAGAATACTGACATGCAGCTAATCGGAGGGCACTGGTGTCTCTGTATTACAATCTAGTCTCCTGTATCTGTACCTGGTGATGTGTGTCTCTGACAGCATGTTTTGTCCTCTCCCTGTAGTCTTGACGAGATGTGTGAAGCGTTACAAAGCGCCGGTTTGTGTCAAGCGGAGAACGAGACTGAACTCGCGGAGTTCACGTTCTGCAGGGACCCCCTCTGTCCCGACACACTCATCTTCTCGCAGCATCTTCAAGCTTGGCTCCAGCACAGCAGCCTCACCGCCACACGTGTGCTGAACATACAGGTAGAAATCTGGGTGTGCCTATATTTGAGTCTTAAGAGCTTAAAAAGAAGGTGAGAAGACTTTGTCAGAGGTTTTCGGAAGACATGTCACCTTTCATCCAAGAGTTTTCTTCAGTATTAAAAATTAAAGGTGGAGAGTCTCAGGTATTAGTCCCTTAGGAGGTGGCTGTTGACTCGCCGTTAATGTGTAGCTGAGTCTCCAGAGTGTACTTGCACTTAAAGGTCAAAGGTCACTCTTTCAGGGATGGCAAAATGGCTTGAAAGAGGAATATAAGTGACCATCATCGAACAGAGGTGGTGGCTTAGGACACCTGCTGTCACCCACCTACAATTTATGTCTTGAGATCCCTTACCAGACCTCAACCCCCACTCACACTACGCGTCAGGTGACATAAATAGCTCACATGATTGGGTAGGGCATGGTCTGACAGTGCTTTCCCCCAAAACCTCTGGTGATAATGACCCCTGCCTTTTTTCACCCCTTGTGGGGTGGGTTTCCTTCCTTTCAAGCTCTTAAGGCCACCATGACCAGGATAACAGAGAACCTGTTTTCTCTGGGGTGAGCACTTGAACATAACCTTAGCAAACTAGAGCAAAGAGCGGGGAAGAGTGCTGGACTCATGAGGTGTTCTCACACGTAAACTCAAGACAACATCAGGAGAGTCAGGTCAGAACAAAGTAGCACACAGCAGGCGATCTTTGGGATTGGGCACATTCTCACCACTGGAAGTCTTTAGTTTAGGTGAAGATGCTGCCTGAGACGTGGGAGGTGTGGATGCCACAAATCAGACAGTTTGTAGTAGAGAGCTGGTAGATTAAAGCCCCTCAAGTGACTCGACCAGGATTTATGTTTTCAAGCAGTGGTGCTTATTGGAAAATGCATACAGACTAAATCAAGAGGAGTGAAGCCATTGCAGATGTCCTTTAAATCTGCATTCTTTCTAATGATCAGCAGCGGGAACTTGCTCTGGAAGCAGAAGTATGTCAGATTGCATAAAAGTCTATGAGATTAAAGCTATCCCTTACTTGATTTACCTGGGTAAATGCTTTCTTGATGGATGTACGGTCTCAGAAAAACCTTCTGGTATTATTTATTACTGCCTGATGGGAGTCCTTAGTTTCTCAGTCAGTTCTAGTCATAACTGTGAAGTCTGGTTTCAAAGAACAAGATGGTGATCACCAACAGCTGACGTCATTCTTAGAGGGGACTAGAGATCTGCTTGTAAATCTGAAAGATTTAAAGTGAAAGCTGAAGGTAAGAGTTAAAAGTGAAAAAGGATTCAGCGAGAGATAAAAATCACTGCATATATTCAGTTTAAAGAACAGCAACAGTGGAAATCCAGCTCACTCACTGTTTTTGTCAGCTTTTCTACTGACGGTCATTTTAGGTCCAGATTTTTCAGATCATTAGCAACACGTGCATTTAGCGTGAGCGCTGCGTGCTCCTCTATAAAATACTTAAATTAAGAAGGAAAAGGTTACAGGAATCGAAATCAGCAGAAAGAAACACACTCAGTCTGTATGAAGGCTGCCTAATAGTCTTTTTCTAGGTGGAAAGCATTTCACCGCTGTGCGATAAAGTGCAAGTTTTGGCCTTTGATCCAGGCTGACTTCCTGTTGTGATGTGAAGTCTGAAGTCTTGAGTTGAATGACTTGAATTCGATTAGCTGCACAGCGGTCTGTAAGTCCGGAGGGGCCAGCTTCTTTAAGGAGAAAGTAGTCCACCGATCTTGTGTGAATAGCAGACACACCTGTCTGTCTGTCTTTGTAGGACAGGAGCGTGTGCGTGGCAACAAGTGTGTTACGCCCCCTGCTGTTTGATAAAAACGACGTCCTGCTAGTGGGGGCCTTCTCGGCCATGACCGTGGCACACGTGGCTGTTGTGGCTGCTGCCCGCTCGGTCCGAGTGCTGGTGTGTGGCGCTGATCACAACCCCTCACACAAAGAGGAGATCCAGGAACTGCTCACACAGATGGACTTAAAAAGTGAGTCACAAACACTTCAGATTTACTGATCTGTCCCTGTTGCTGCTGATGTCGCTGTATTTGTCCTTTAAGCTTTAACATTCATGAACCCTAACCCTGAGTTTTGAATATTACATATGATGGCAGCACAGTGCCAACACTAATCCGATCACTCACATGTTGCTCTACATCCTGATGTAGACGTTCGTGTCCTGTCACAAGCGTTTTACGGTCTGGATGACGTAGATGCCACCGTCCAGCGAGTAAAGGTCATCATGGTGCTGCCTCAGTGCTCGTCTTCTGCCCTCAATGACCCGGTGCCCGCTATCCACAGTGAACATGGAGGTAGGGAAATATAAGAGACCCCAACCTCCTGTTTCAATGAGTAAACATAATATATGTCATTTTGTTTAACATTTGAATATTATGCAGTCATGTCCAAGTAGAGTTAAACAAGGGCAGACGTTAAACAGGTTCTCCTCTGCTGACAGACTGGGGTCTGCTGCCAGATTTGTCCCATGGTTCTGTTTCCAAGAGAAAAATAAACTCTCTGACCGCCCAGCAGGCGAAACTGCTGGCACACGCTCTCACCTGTGAGTAAATACCAAGCACACACACTTTTCACCAACCGAGCTACAACTTAAACACGTTATGTATTTTTGTTCCTGTTGGTAAAAAATTCATTTATTTCCTTCATTCATCAGTCCCAAAGGTTCAGACTGTGGTCTACTGCACACGCTCAGTGTATCCCGAGGAAAACGAACAGCTGGTGAAGAGAGTGTTAGAGAAAACACACACTCACCCCAAACTGCTGCCCTACAGGTACAACAAACACACTCGGCTGCATCTTTATACAGTTGTCTGCTTAATAGGCATTTAATCCTTTTAGTCATATATAAATATAAAGTACTTTTTTAATCCACAGGCTTAAACAAACACAAGCGTAATGAGGAACCTACAGGGCAGTGTAACAGGAAACAGGAGGCACTTAAACCATCTCAGATACTTTGTTTAATTTGATGGTCCTTTTTTTTCGTTTTATCTTTTGGCATCATTCGTTAATTTCCACAGCAAATAGAAATGGGAGCAACGAGCAGCCCATCTTCTTTTCTAGGGCTCAGCTCACCGTGCAATAACCACAGAAACCAAATGTCATTTTAGCATTTTTAAAGCTAAACTGTTCGTTTTCTCTTATTGCAGCTGGATTATTATCTCTGAGTCCAAACACAGATGGTAGGACAAACCCTTGCATGGGGCTCATGTGAGCAAAAACTCACAAAAGCTATCAGATAAAGCATGCTGACATTGATAAATTCACTTTATAAGCTTGGAAAGCATGTGATTCCAGCGGATACGGCGGTTTGGGTCACCATTCCCGTGCACGGATTTCTAAATAACCTATTATTTTTACCTTTCTATAAGAGAGTGTGTGTGTGTAAGAGAGAGAGAGTCTGTCAGCAGGCTGATGACAGTGTAAAGGATCAGCTGCTGTTACCGGTGGGCCTGAGATTAATCCCGCAGTCGGGGTAAACGGGGCGGAGAAGATTTCAGAGTCTGTTTCATGCCTGCTGCTCCACAAAAGTCATTTCCTGCCATCCGTCCGCTTAAAGGAATCCAAATGTTATTAAATCAGCTCACATAAGCTCTTTTATCAACTTGCGTTAGGATTTTAGGCACATGTTTGATCTCTGTGTTTCCAGTATCTGTTCTGTGAAGACACAGATGTTTCAGTTGTTTTTACAAGGGATGACAGTGCACTGCAAACACCACTGCACTTCAGCGAAGTTTGGAGGAAGGAAGTAGCGATCAGTACATAGCCAGGTTTTTGACACAGTTTTTGTATGTTTGCCTCCACAGTGGATTTGAAATCAAATGGTAAATGTGTGATTGAAGCACTGACTTTCAGCAACTTGCATTAACTGTTTAGGAATGACCGGCACATTTATACACAGTCCACAGAGGCTCGAATGTACTTAGACAAGGGACGAGCAGTTTCATTGCCAGGTGATGTCTGTTCCCCTGGTATTTCATGACAGTGTTGAACTTTGTATTTTATATGAGGCCCAAAGAGATGTCAGTGCAAGTGGGGGAAGCCGTCATTAGGCTGAAAAGCCATAATAAATCTATCACAGAGAGCAAAAACATCAACAGAGGCCACAACCTGGTATGTTCTTAAAAACAAGGAAATTCCTTTAGCCGGCTCAGCAACACCAAAAATTCCTGAAAGACCACAGAAGTCAAACAAAGTGGGATGATGACAGAATTACAAACAACTCAAGAACACTGAGGGAGGCAGGTGAGTCCTTGTCAGGATCTACAATCAAGAGATGTCTCCATACAGACGGTTTATGACAAAGTGCAAATCACTGAAGGACTGGACGACCTGATTAGACTTCAGCAGAAAACATCTAAAAGAGCCCACACAGTTCTAGGAAAACAGATTATTTGGACAGATGAAACCAAGATGAACTAGAAGAGAAATATAGAAAAGGAGGGGAACTGCTTTTTTCCCCAGATAATGATCAGATTATCAGCATATTGACATGTGCATGTATGGCTGCCAGTGAAACTGGGTCATTAGTGTTTATTGATGCTGTGACTGCTGTGATAGAAGTAGCAGGATTTATTCAGGGCAGCATGGTGGCGCGGTGGTTAGCGCCGTTGCCTCATAGCATCACGGCCCTGGGTGTTTGCCATAGGTGCGAATGGTTGTCTGTCTCTGTGTTAGCACTGCAGGAAACTGGCGATCTGTCCAGGGTGCACCCTGCCTCCCGCCCTATGGTAGCTTGGATAGGCTCTGCCCTTCTCATTTAAAATTAAATTTGTCCAGTTAATGCAATACTTTTGTTAAACCCTCCAAATTAAAGCTAAAAGTCTGCACTTCAGTCACATCTTTACTGTTAGATTTAAAAATCCTCTGTGTTGGTGCACGGAGGCAAAACTGAAAAAACCTGGATCAATATCAGCCGAACTGTACATTCTGCTTCCACACATGTGACTCCAGTCATGTAACTTAACATGTGAGCTCACAACCCATTATAAAAGCACGAGCGTAGTTTTATCTTAATAGCTTTTAGTGGAGATGAAAAGTTGCCCCACCAAAAATCTGACTGTGTGTGTAAACACTCGACATAAAGAGCACCCTGCTTTCACAATCAGCATTGCATTGAGAATTTTAATGCGAACGAAGGTCACATCTGCACATCGTCTCCATATTTCAGCAAGATTTAGACAGCGCTTGGTCCGCTGAGATTTCTCATTCAACATTTCCTAAAATATTGAATCCTGAAGGGAACTTGGACCAGAAGTATGGCCTGACAGCAACAGCTGCGAGGCCCATAAACAAGACTGTCCTTAGGCTGTGAACAGGACAATCTGTCAAGAGACACCACGAGAAGCACCTGATGAGCCACCCACTCCCATCCACTTACATACAGGAAACCTTTGTGCCTGGAAACTACTGCACTGACACTGAACTGCAGGATGCCCACGTACTGTTTCATGTATATCAAGTAAAACTGCTAGCAACATTGTTTTTCAAGAACTTCGCCACGGCGCTAGAAAGTTTGAAGAAAAGCTGAGGCCGATTAAACAAATCCTGTTTTCTTTATTTGGTTGTCAAAATAATTTATTTCTCTTTGGTTCAATTTCCAGAAGCAGGCAGTTCTTGTGCGCGTTACACAACCATTTACTCACAGCAGGGGAGCTCCGAGTTCTGACGACCAAGTGCCAATTTAGGAAATTTGTTTGTGACTGAGGGCCGCACAGGAAAAATACATCAAAACCATTTAGCATTCGTACAGTCTCTGTTCAGAGAACTGCGATTTATGTTGGTATTTTTTTACTATGGTTTACAGCCTTGGTGGTATTTTTATGACCCCTGCTTTGTCAGTAGCTCTTAGGAGGTTTTAGTTGGCATCATGGCTGAAACAGAAGAAAAACACCCCTATGGTTTCATATTTGATGAACTGTGTAGTGATCATCTTTCACTGGCTCATGAGCCACACACACTGTTCCCAAGGACCACAACTATGCATCCTGAGCTTACAGTAATCCTCTTCTAAATGCATGTGATGATGACGAATCAGTGTGAAAATGCTTTCTTTTTCTTCCCGTTCTGTACCGCTCCCTCAGGGTGAATGGTCCAATTTTCCCGGACGACTCCTCATCAGGAGGCGAAACGGACTCGCACAAGTTTTTCAGGCTCGAACCATCGAAGGTCACCAACGGCTGCTTCGTCGCCAGACTGTCCCGACAGGTGAGACGCATGGGAGGAGAAAGCGTAAGATGAAAGTAAGAAGAGAATAAAGGACAAGGCTGCTTTTAAAGGACTGAGATTTTGTGATGTGTGTAGAGTATTTACACGTGTGCGCGCATGCAATTGCTTTGCAACAAGACCTTCTAGTAGTGCTGAGGCTGCACTTCTTTGCTGTCTGACTGCAGGGAGGTCAGTCAGCTCTGTGAGCCTGCGCACGCACGCACACACAGTAGGTAGATGTGTGTGTGTGTGTGTGTGTGTGTGTGTGTGTGTGTGTGTGTGTGTGTGTGTGTGTGTGTGTGTGTGTGTGTGTGTGTGTGTACCATTGCTCTGTAAAAACACTGCAGCAATATTCCATAAAAATGAGACAAGCTAAAGATGAAATGCCTGTGAGCCAGTGAAACATTTCAGTACTCCAGAGCCAAGATGAATGGATAATTCTCTGTGTCGCTCTTTCAGCCTTTCCTCCAAGCCCTCAAGCCTTGTTGCATCACCTCATTTGCCCCCTCCCCTTTCTTGCCTCTTGCTGCACTCATAAAAAGAGGGAAAAATACAACAGAAGGAGCTGCTGCTCCTTCGATCACCTGCAGCTCGAAAAATGCTGCAGTGAGGTCCGTACAGCCACAACAAAAACTATTCAATCACGTTGGGTTTATAATGGTTTACTCATGTATAAAAATGCATTTATAGGAGTTGAAAGTAATATTTAGTAAGTCCCTAGTAACGCTGATCCTTTAAATCTATTGTCATAAAAGAATGTTGCAAAAGACAAAGAAGCTTTAAAAAATTTGCTTCTGCAGTGATGCAGATCTACATGCTAAATGTTCACATCTGGAAGTAAACATGGAAAAGATAAAGTAGCATCTTGAAAGCTGAAGGATGAAACGAGTTTAAAACTCCTCGACACCTTTGAGTGCTGAAGAAAAAACAAGAAAGTGCCTTTAAGTGAAATCAGACATTTGACAAGAAGAAAAATGACTCTTTATGGAGGCAGAAACGTAAATTGACATGCATGTACAAGTACACAACAAACCTGTTTGTTCAGACAGTAAACTCAAACGCTGGATGCTGTAGGACAAATGAGAGTGAGAAGCAGAGCAAACACCACCCGTGTAGTCTGCTTGTAGGTACTTGTCAGTGTGAACAAGCCAATTCCTTCAGCAGAGAAGCACTGATTTGAGACATGGCTGAAGGATCGGTTAATAGAATAACAGTTGAAATATAGCACATCCTGCACTCTGTGAACAAAGAGGACATAAAAGTTACCAGGAATCATTCTTAAATTGGTCTTTCTTCCTGGATTTGTCCCACAGACACACACACAGAGTGTAGCAAGAGGCACAAATAAGATATTTGTAAGATTTGTGTGTGTACATATATATATACACACATACATAATAAAGACCAGGTGATTGATGTGCAGGAAAGGGTTTCATTTAAACGTTCTCATGCAGAATGTGCTGCTGGTTAAAGAATCATTTCTAATGCAAATCGTATCTTTCTAACACAAATGGGCACGCTGCTGGAGACACCTCTGTCCTGTCCAGCTCGCTGCGGTAATTTAAAATCTAATGATCACGCCTAATTGGATTGACGACCACTACAGCGACTACAATGGACACAGAGCTGGGGCTGCAGATTTTGTTACACTGAAGAGATACCTCATCGATGCGTGCAGATACACAGAAATTAAGAAATGAGAACCCGTCCTCATAGACGAGGGGACAAACTGCACCTGTTCCACATCTGGGAGGTTGTTGAGCTCTATTCCCCTCTCAAGTATCTCCAGTATTTCCTCACAAATTGTAGATTTAGCATTTTAATTTAAAAATGTAAGGGTGTACACACGACTCAAGGAGCCGAGCTGGAAGCTCTGTGTGGTTATCAGTGCTGCTTTGAGCTAATAGCTGAATAACAATGAAGCTTTTGAAGTGGTCACATTTTCCTGATCAATCAATCAACCGGATAGGTGAGATATTTCGGCCTGGACCAAAGTGGTAGACCAATGATCTTGTCACTGAGACTTAAAGTAGACATTTTAATTAGAAAATGATTCATCAGCCTGAAACCTGAAATATTTTATCTGTTAAACACGTGTGACGGGCTGCAATCAGTCATACCGCTCTCCAGTAAACTGTAGTCTTCTGCATTTTACCACCACATTGGCAGCGCAATTAAAGTTCTGAGGCTTATAAATGACTCAAAGCGTACAATGCTGTCAAAGTAAGAAAAATGGAAAACTGCAGAGACAGATTAAGCTCTCAGGGGTGAATAGAAAATGCATTTGTAATATTTTTAAGCAGCTTTCATAAAAGAAGAGAAAGTAAATGATGATTCAGAGAGACTGTGATAGAAAACAGACAGACCGAAGGTTCGGGAAAATTTAATGGGATTTCTTGTTTCTGCACTGCCGATGACAACCTTTCACTTCTATCCATATAACACTCAGGCTGTAACGTACAAAGTTCATTTGCAGTCCTGTGAAACACTGAGCACGTCCTTTTAGCAGCCAGGTGCTGATAATCAAATGCATTTGATTGAGTGATCATCAGTGATTGTGAGCGCCTCTGTAAAAGCAGAAGTTTGCATAATGTGCTGGTTTTGAGCATTCAGGTGTGTGTTTATGTGGATTTACTTTGAAGCCACAGGACCTGGGCACCTTGCAGTCATGGATTTTACCATGAGCTCCTCTGCACACTGACGTATTCTAGAGTCAAAAGTGAGACCATCTGTCCAACAGCTAAAAGATGGCCTAAATCGGGCCACGCAACAGGGCAGTGACCTCAAACACAGCAGCAAAGCTACACCAGCATGACCGAATGCCCGCAAATCTCAGTGAACTGAAGCAGCGTTGTAAATAAGAGTGGACTAGAATTCCCCCACAATGGCACGAGAGAGAAAACCTTTACTTAATCATTACTTTGGTTATTGCTGCTAAAGGTGGTTCAGTACATGACTGAATCGTGGAGTGTACTTAGATTCGCACGAGACTGCAGAGTCTCTGTGCAAACTTTCTTTTCCACAGGGTTATTTGTGTTTCAGTGTGATGGGGAGTTATACATTAAAATGAATGTTGCCAAGGTGACTTCATGAAGTAGTTTTGATTACATCATTTTTAGACAAGAGTTATTAACTAACACCAACAAGCTTGGTTAGCAAGCTGCACAGAGTATAAATACACACAGAGATAAATACGATCTAATTTGCACAAAGTAACAAGAACTGAGCACAGACTTCTTCAGACCGCAAGACAAATTTACAAAACTTACAACATGATAAAGATGCCCCCGAACTCAGAGTTGGTTGCCCATTTGTTTTATACTGAGCTTCTAATCTGTGCATTTCCTCTGTAACATGAGTCTGTGGCACTAACACACCTTCTAAAGCCAGTCTGGAGTGGCAGTGTGGGAAGCTACACTATGACAATTTTCAGCCCGAGGGCTTGTCAACAAAATTCATCTACCCCGAATTTATCGCTTATCTTCCCTCACCTTTTATTTATGTATTTGACTGGATTAATGGCCCTGAAGCTTTAACGCTGGATGATTTTTCGATTGGTCCTGTGTTTTCTGTCCAGATTAAAAATCGTTTCTCTACTATCCACACGGGATAATCTGTAATTAATTTGGCAATGCTCGTACATCTGATAGGATAAACCGAGATAAATTTCAGAGAACTTCTGAGTGCAGGTTGGTTATTCAGTACTTAAAGAAGAAAAACTGAAGTTTTACTTTGAGGGCTGGCAAACATTACAAACACATTAGCATTTTTGTTGTAAGCAGGGTATCATTGTGATGATAGCATTCAGTCCAAAACCAGCTGTTTTCTCACATGGGCATAGAGAGGAAACAAAAGTGGTTGTAGACTGTGATCATCCTGGTGCCTTTCAGATGATATTCTTTATTTGCTGCCATGATGCGGTGTAAAAGCCTCCTCCCCCTCCTCTGCAAGTTCGCCTTATGGCTGTAGCTCATTTCCACACCATTGTGTTTTTATTGTGTAGATGTCCCCTGTGCTACATTTTAATGCATTGTGGCTTCACATTAAATCTTCAAACTGCTCTTTCTTCTTCAGGCAGATCCTACTAAGGTGGAAACAGTCCAAGATGTGCTGGCAAGGGCGGCGGCAAAGGGCCTCCTGGGCGGAATGATTCCCGAACAATCAAAAGCTGCTAAAAAGGGGAAAAGCAAGAAGAATCGAGCAGCATCAGCCAGCAGCAAACCTTCATCCTCCTCCAGCCTTGAGAGGGAGACGGGAGGAGAGCTGCCAAATGGACGAGATCCAGTCACACCTTCAGGAGATGAAGAGGAGAAAGGCGAGGGAGATGATGAGGAGGAAAAAGTGGGCGAGACAGAGAAAGAGGGGGAAAAGAAGAGGAGGGGGCATAAAGGGCGTAAGCGAAAAGGCCATTCAAAGCAAAGCAAGAACACTACTGTCTCCACGCATGAACCTAAAGGCCACAAGAAGAAACAGACAAAGAAAAAAGTCAACCAATCACATCACAAGAGGCGTCGGACGAAAAGCAAACCGAGACGAATACCTCGCCTTACACTAGCTTTAATGTCCTCTGCAAAACCCTCCAACCACTTGTCTCCAATCACAGCTCTGGCACAGAGGATGAGCATCAATCCAGCGTTTAAATCACAGCAGACATTACTCAGCATGCCTTCCCCCGCTGGAAAGCATCCTTCAACCGCTCTTCCTGCCATACCCGCTCCCCACACCGCCTCCACGGGACTAAACACACAGCCTGAAAGAGCACAGGAAACATCGAACGACGCTGCTAAACCAGCAAAAGAGGCGGTCAGAGCTGACAATGTGGGGCTGCCACCAATCTCTCTGCGCAGCAGGAGTGGCAGTTCTGGCTACAGGCCTCTGTCTGGGACCCTCAACTCCCAGCAAGGCAACATGTCTACGTCTTCATCCTCAATCTCTCTGCCTGATGTATAAAAAAAAAAAGTATTCTCACGGATGTACTAACTGGAATGTACTAACGCCACATCAAGTGCTTTTTAATTATTACAATATTTAAATTATTTTGTAGCCATTTCTGCTGCTTAGATTTGTTTTTTAAATATATGTGGCTCACTCATAAACTAGATCTTCTAGTAATTTATGTTGACTAATACACAAATAAATTACTAATTGGGCCACAGTGAAGTTCAGTGAAGAGCAGGTTGCAGTATTTGTCAGGCACAAAGTGTAACTACTGACCTGATTGGTACCCATCTATCAGTCAAGGTGGCCACACAACTGAAAAATGCAGAACTTGACATGATTTAGATGGTTTATCATGTCAAAATTAAGTGCTTGGTATAGCTGTCATGGAGGCCTGGCTTAAAGGTGACATATGCTCATTTCAGGCCCATATTTTCCTTTGTGGGATCTCACGGTTGTTTTACATTCACAGTTTAGAACTGTTACATCACTACATTTTCATTTTTGCTTTTTTCCTCCAGTAAAATGATGCACATCTCTTTAATCTTCAGTGATACAAAAACAAAAAGTTTCATGGGAATAAATAACTCTTAATGACTCACGAGCTGCAGACAGCTGGACTCTGATTAAGCAAGAGACCGATCACAAAAATAGCTGCAAACACACACGCGCACGCACAGGTTTTATAATGCTGTTTATTCTCACAATTGGTTACATTGATAAAGTGTACAAATCAGTGAGCAGCAAACGGAAGCAGACACATCCATCAGTGGGAAATGGATAGTGTATATATATGTGTATGTGTGTGTGGGCGTTGTTTATGTGCAAGACTGACAAGAGATGCAAGGAGTCCACTGCTGCTACAATCCTCCTCCTCACCCTCCGGTCAGCGGTTCAGACGGAGCAGTGGACTCCCAGCTCTCGGTACACTGTACAAGGTGAAGATATAATCCATAACCTGCTGTGTTCTGCAAAGCGGAGCTTGTTGTAGCGTTGTGACTAAACCGGGGACTGAGACGATGACAGTCATGAGACTTTACTTGCCCCAACTAATAAAAATCAGTATATACCTTTTATAAAATAGAATAAATAAAATAAAAAATATTTCTGTTCAATACATACAGTCTCTCTCTCTCTCTCTCTCTCTCTCTCACAACCATCCCAGAGCGTGCGAGGCTTTTCATGACTTTCCGTTTCTCCAGATCAAAAGAATGCATAGATAATTGCTAAGTTAAATTCAGCATCAACTTAACTGCCAACTGTGAGCGCTTCCGATCGCCTCCGTGTTCATTATCTGCTCTCGTATTTTTCTTTATCTACAATGTATATCAGTATTTTACACTTTGGCCATTTGGTGAATTTTCAAAAAATAGAAAAGAAAAAAAAAAAAAGGCATTTCATTAGAGGAAAATAACAGGCAAAGAAACACATTAAAGAAAAACATAGCTTATAACGATGATTAATGCCAAATGTTACATGAAATCAGTATTATGTACAGAAAGTTTTTGTCATCTCGTTCACATTTCAGCATCCTTGTGACAAAAGAAGAAATCATCTCCGTTACTAAAATAGTTTCTTTAGGTTCCCCCGTGGAGCCAACAGACGAAGTGCAAGACAACATGCTGACCGTTAGCTAAGCCCCCCCCCTCAAGTTACTGCCTCAGCCCCTGTCAAGCATTTCTTTGTTTTTTTAGGCCACTTATTTATCACAGAAATGTGACGCAGCACAAACAAAAACAGGCAAAGACGAAGACCGGGAATCTCACAAGTCAAGGAAAATACCCGTGACTTCAACTCAGCCTCCTAGTAGATGTGCCTAGTTTGAAACTCCTATGTCGCCTCGTTCTCAAGTTTCTGAAAACTTGACCTCTGACCTTGACGTCAAAGTGACTGATATTCAAACTTGTCCAAGACTTTTAGTAGATGCAGCTATGGCATCAAATCCTACGTCACCTTGTTCTCGAGTTATCGCCCTCACAAACTTAGGTGTCCAGGCCTCACAGCTACGAGGGGAAACCCTCCGCTCTGCACAGCTGCACCCACCCGGAGGACTGACCTGGACGGTCAACCAGAAAAGTTTGGTGACTTCTGCATTGGGTCTCCATAAGGTAAACTTTTTTACGAATGTGCTACAATTGTTACTGCTCCCTTATTCACAGCAGGTAGCTTCATGTGTTTGATTTGGAAGATTTGTTTGTTTTTATCTTTTCCAACTATGGGATGTCATTCCAGACACGAAGGCATCTCGTCCTGGGAACTTGTGCATAGTTACTGAACCACAAACAATTCAAGGGACGGCTGCAGCTCGACATCTTCAAAATCTTCATCTTAAAAAAAGAAATCATGGAATTGTGCAGTATTAATCTGGAAGTTTTGAAATTTTAGTTAAAGCAAAAATAATGAATTTTGGACTTTAGATTTTTAAATGCTGCGTCACATATCTGCAGTAACTCTTGAAAGCGTATTACGCGCAGACTAGCATCTCCTGCTAACAGCAAATGTTCAATTTTGGACCCTAACAATGATGAACGTCTTGAACAGACTTTATATGTTTTATGAAGAGTTGGACCATATTTTTTTAATCCGGCTGTTGTTTTAACATTAGGCAGTCATTTTGAACCAGCTGCTAGCAATATGATGCTAAATGTCAGAGGCCAGGCTACTCCTTCTGGCATAAAAGTTGGTGTCCTCAGTAGAAAGTGAGCCATGATCCATTCTGCACCGACCTTCTTAGTCCCAGGATAACCAATCAGGTACACACAGTGAAAAATGTACCACCATACTGCAGCAGGTTGAAATACAAACACAGATTACAATTATGCTTTAGTGTTTCCATTTCTTTAAAAGGAGCCTATAAAGAGAGGACAGAGCTCTGATGTAGCAGCATCGTCTGGAAAAGAAGCCGAGAGTGAACCCAAAGCTTGACAGGCTCTAATCAGGGGGTTTAGCAAAGGGTCACCTAACAGAGTATTAATCTGCTGCCCCACACCCAGGAGGGAGATGCGCTGTTGTGAGGATCTTATGTGATTTTTAGGTGACATAAAGGACTTCATTAGTTATTACCATACATCCAAGCTTGTCAGATATGTGATAATAAGGAGCTAGCAGGTGAAACTGGAACTCTGCACAACACAGACACAGAGCGAGCGGTTTCATTACACTGATGAAATCAGACGTACAGTGAGTAAGGAAACACAAGGCGCGTTCAGCTGAACACAATCCTGGAGACAGACCGATATAGAGTCCATTAAAGTCCGTCAGTCTGGGTCAACACGTCTCTCTGCTGGCTTTCCTCTAGAAAACATCCACAGCTAAAGAGAAAATTGTCCTCTCTCTTTCTCAAATCACAGTTCACATCAGCTGTGGACTAAAAATCATCACAACCACACCCAGGTATAAAAACGCATTCCTCAAGTGTTCCTCCAGGCTTGTTTGTGTTTTTTAATGCCACCCATGATCTTTATTAGTTTAAATGAAGTCTGATGACCGATACTGAGGTGGGATTTAAAGGAATAATCCGTCAAACTTCCTCCAACATGTGTATTAAAGAGCAGCAGCATGCTGAAGGTCTCCTGTGTTTGGAGCAGCACTGTACTAGAGAGAGAGAGGGTCAGCGCCACCCGCCCCCATCTCGTCCTCCGTTATGGCTATCTTCTGTCATTTCCTAGCGGGATGAGAAAAGAATAACAACGTAAACAAGGAAATGCGCGAAGCATGTTTCGGGTGAAAGGTCACCACTCGTTCAGACGCGGGGCTGACTCTCGCACAGCTGATGAGAAAGAACGAATAAGACAGGATAAACGAACCGTGCGACTTCTGATTTCTCACCCTCGAGTCTCTGAAAGCAGCAGCAGTGTATTGATATTGTATAGAATGATTCACATTTAGATAAAAAGCTCATGCAGGGTCAAGTGGTTGGAGGGTGTAGACTGAAACAAATCTCTTTATCTTCCAATGATCATCCGCTGATATGAAACTTTTCATCTCCTTACGGTTACAGTCTACTGAAGATGATGAGCTCGGGGGGGAGGACAACCCGGTGGATGAGGTTGGAGGAGGAGTGTGGCCAGGTGTGAAAGGTCATGCTGTCAGCACAGGCACAGACACAAATGCACAAAGAGCACGGAGAGATCAGCAGCAGCAGCACACAGGATCACTTCCTGCCCTCTTCTCCTCTGCTGCTGTGAGCTGAGGGGAATGAGACCTACTTCTATGTACACCATCGCCTGCATGGCCGGCACTCAGGTGGTCCTCTTCAGACGTGGGGTTGGTGCCTTTTTAATTCTCACTTATTTGGAAGAAACAGACTTGAATTGCGGCTCAAGAGCCAGTTAACTCTTGAGGTGAAATTCCAATTTGCTTCCAAACCAGTGAAGGAGTTGTGACAGGTTAAACCCCCCACCCCCAAAAAACCCAAGGGTTTTACTGCGTTTCCATGGCTACTGGGGTCTGTGGTGGTGACGGGTTTTGGCAGCGATGCGTCGAGTTACTATGGTGACTTGGGGCCGTGGTCGAAAGCCGGTAGTGTTTCACCACGGTTACTGTGGCAACTCTGTGACAGGTCTCTTCTGTTTGAGGGTGTCGATGAGAGACAGGACGCCTCGCTTCACACTGGTCGACACTCGGCGGGACACCGAGTCGCCGGGAGGCAACGAACCGCAGGCCTTCTGGGAGGGCGGTCGAGCCACCAAACACTTCTGATACCGCAGCTGTAAGAGAGCGAGGGAGAGAGAGAGAGAGCGTAAATTATGGAGAGTTACAACTGTTGAGGATACGACTGTGGAAGGGGCAAGTGTGTGTGTGTGTGTGTGTGTGTGTCCGTCCTTGTGGGGATCAACAGCCCTTTTAGGGAGCGGTCCCCAATCCCTGGGCCTCGGACCGGTACCGGTCCGTGAGTCGTTTGGTAGCGGGCCGCGACGAGAGTTGAGGCTCGGGTGTGAAATGTATAGTTTTCAGGGTTTTTATCAGTTTTCAGCGTTATTTTGTTATCGTTTTTATCGTTAACTCGGTTT